CCTACACGATAGTTTGTGAGGTCACACAAAGTACAATGAAATTATAAACAGCAAATCTAATACATGATGACATCAAGAAGGCTCAATATACCCTGGCCTGCCATGCCTAGAACTGGGACTGCCCTACCAAAGTCTGACTAGAGGCAAAGTTAAATTGCATATTTGAAAACAAATAATGAGGCATGTTTTCTTCTGGCATGAACTGAACTACAGTGAATATGCAAAAGATAATTTGACTACACCTACTGAAAGAATGTGTCTTTGCCTTAATCAGAAAATTATGAGAAGGAATTTTTCAGTATCTGGTTTCTAGCAATCACATCATCATATTATGTAAAATGTAAGAAATCCACCAATAACTTAAGCTGTTTCTTATGCACTAACACAATATCCAAACTGCATATTAGAATACTTGAAAAGTTAACAAAGGTTTTGATAATGGAAGGTTATATTTAAAGTTAGCCATGTGTTTTGACTTGACACGGATTTAAAAGAAACACATGCACATACAAGAAAAAAGCCTGGAAGTGTGAAATCTAAATTTTAAGTCTAAACTATCTCACAATATTTCTTTAAAATAGACAACTCAGTTGCAAGTTTGAACCTATGATGAAGTGATCATTAAAGTAACTTGCCCAATTCTGGCCATCTGAGAATGTCACAGGCAATCAGAACTCTGGGTAACCTCTACTATGAGTTCAATGGTATTTTTAAAATCCAGACTGTTCATAACTGTGAACAGCAAAGCACTGGCTAACACACCGTTAGGAATCCACTCCTGTAGTGGCACTGATTAGAAAACACAACAGAAAAAATAAGCTGGTATCTTCCATACAGAGAAAAAGGCAGTAAATGCACCAAACAGCAGGGGTAGCCTCCTGCACCTGCACCACATGGATGGAGCTCTCCTCAGTCCACACTTATCTCAACAACTCTAAGGGGAGCACCAACCAGCCAGGAATTCCATTGGCAAGCTACAGTTGCTGAATCCACACTATATAAATGGAGTCTACTGGGAAGATAGAGGGATACAAAGTCAATTTTCTCTGAATTTGATACTTTCAAGCCTATTTGATGCACTTAACGATCACAAACACCAGGACTTCCACAAGGTGAGCTCAACATGTCCTCTCACTAAATGACAGCTAAAAACACACATCCCAACAAGCAACTTTCCTTTTCCTGTCTACAGCATTCTCTGAAAAGACCATGGAATGAGAAGTCAGTACTTGCCACAATAGGTATAGATTAGTTTCGAGTCTATGAATCGAACTTTGAGGTTGTGTAGAACAGCAGGTTCGTGGAGGTAACTGAGAGCTGTGAGGTCATTTTCACCCACAAGGATGTCAGGGTTGCGCAAGGGAGGCAGCTCCTTGGTCTTTGCATCCAGGCAATACTCTAGGTCCTGAAAATCAAATGGAAACAAACATGCTGAAAGAGCTGCAGCCCCTCCAAACATTCTTCCCAGCAAAACATGCCCAAGTTACAAAAACACAAAGCAGCATTTAAATCCTCTGGTGATTTCAGGGAGTCCTTTCTCCAAAAACGTCATTTAAAATGTCCCAAAAGCATTTCTTACACACAACAGGCAACCATAGAGACATCACCTTTTAAAACTATTTCTTAAACACCCCCCTTTCTTTTGCTGCTAAATCTTTTTATTAAAGTAAAAATGTATGTTCCATCATAAATCTGACTGGGTTTTCATATTATTTTCCTCTTGACAGGAGCAGAGGAAGCAGATTCCATCAGTCCACAGCCAGTTCCACACACAGTCATACACACAAGAATGCTGGCACAAAACCAAGAACACAAAGTGAAAAAAAATGCTACTTACAATTTTTGCAATTATAAATTAGTCTCTAATGTAGATGTTTTAATTGCATCTCTCTTTAAATCTAAAAATTACTTTATTTACCTGCTGTTTTCATGCCCCCACACAATGTGACTTAATTGACAAACACCCGCACTCTGTGACATGCAATGCTCAAGTGTGCAGCAGCATCACACAGCCTGGAATATGGGGGCATGGGGTTTAAACTTGACACATTAAAAAGGTTGTACTCAGCTTTCCATATAAGAAATGTGAGTGAGTCAAAGACTGAAATGCATTAAAGTAAAATATTTTACATAGAGGCCATTCTGTATATGTCCTTTTAACTTCATGGTTATGTGAGTCTCTACATGAAAGTAGAATCCAAGCTGGCCACTGGTAAGAGGAAAATAAATGAAAAAGAAATATTTGACCAACTACAATAGATCTTTATTTTCCATAAGAAGATCTGGGAGATCACCATATCACTATGTATTAAGATTAAATAACCATTTAAATGGCATGAAAAAAATGAGCAGGCCTTCAGCAGGATGTGAGCTTTTTGTAGACATGTCATCTATGTCTCTATGCCATATCATTTTTGTAATGCTCTTAATCCTTGCTCCTTCTTATCTTTATTAATCTTCTAATGGTTATGCTCAACTGCAAAGTCACAATTATTTCTCTGCAACCCTCTTCTCCTGGTAACATTGCTCTCACTGGAGTATCAAACAAGGGTTATACCTTTAATGGCATAAGTAGAAAAAGATGATGAAACTGAACGTAACAGGCAGTTGGATAAAAGCAACACGTTTTATTTTATTTTTTAAATTGAGGCAAAATGGATTATTGTAAATTAATAGTATCATTTGTCATACAAAAAATGCTACTGAAGGTCAGTGGACAAGAATAAGTGCATATACATAAATGCAGATATATTTTGACAGTACAGCTGCCTGTGTTAGATACACCAGTCTCCAGTGAAGAGCAAGAACAGTTTCTGAACAGTATGTAGACCTACCTTGCCCTCTTCAAGTCGAAGTTGGAGGACTTTATCTCCAGGTTTATAATCTTTGAGTAGTTCTGCTGACTTCCAGACCTCCTCTGGATCAGGGATCCAAACCCTGGCATACTGCAATACAAAAACAACAGCAAAATATCAGTGCCTATATAGTTTAATATAGTTAATCATCCATCTACATGACACTAACACTTTTTTTTTTAAATAAACATGTTTAACAGCTAACCCCTTAAGCAAGAGACGAGTCAGTTAATACCTCTGAGGTGAATAAGTTGTTCTATCTATTGATAAAAGGCTACATAAGCTTAATTTTATTGCCTACACAGAAAGAAAAGGGTATTATACATGCAAAATATTGATCCAAGGTACACATTCAAAGCTGAAAATATACAATTTTTTTTTTAAAATAGAGGTATCAGAAACTTGGTAATAAAAAAAATTACTTGGAGAAACTCTTCTAAGCAGATCCTAAATACATTTGCAGCATAACATTATATAGCTTTTTTCCCTAACATAACACTTTGGCACACGTGTATTAATTCAGGCGAAGATACCGGATCTCAAGTATTAAAAGCTCTTCTCTTTGTAGTAGCAAATGGGGAAAGTTTAAAATGGATTGTCTCCAGAATGCCAAAAGAAAAAAAAATTCTGAAATTATTTGTTTGAAAAGGCCTTCAAATAACAAAAAACAAAACCTTGTATTCCAGTTAATGACCATTTTGCTCCCAAAGTTTACTCATAAAAGTAATGCAGAAGAAAGAATCAGTTCTTTTCAAAACCAGACAGAATATTCACAATTTTAAATGAGTGGAGCCAGATTTAATGGTTTTCTCATGCTCGGGAATCTAGATGGAAACAATCTAGTTACTTATACATGCACATGCAAATACATGCATCTGAAAACAGCTCTGGAGTAACCCTAGAAAAGGTAATGATATTTTTAATATATTAAAACTCCTGAATTGATGCTCTTGCAATGCCTAGAGAGCACTAAGATCATCCCCCATCCATCACCTTTGCAAACAAAACAGCTGCTCGGCTCTAGCGTTGCAGCCATGTTGCAAAACATTCTCAGTCCACTAAGTTGCTCCAAAATAACAGTAATGTATTTGTCAGAGCACAGTATTTGATGGCAGAGCAATTCTGCACTTGGTCACCCAGCTTCACCTCCTAGTCTTGCACACATTCTTGTACACCATCTTCTGCCTCAAAGAATACTGAAGCTCTTTTTTCCTCTTATTAACCCAATTTTCTGTCTACTTAGAATGACAAACTTTGAGTTTCTATTAGGGATTTTTTTGACTAACCCAACTTTATATTGCCTTCTTGCTGTAAGATAGGAAATGCTAAAATGTGTTCAGGCAAGGCAGTGGGTTGGGGAGCAAGCCCTGAGGAGCCCCAGCCCTTGGCCCATGAGGGGGATGTGCACCCTGCCTGGCTGGGGGCTCAGTGCCTGGAATTATTGCAAACTTCACAAAGCAATTTGCTTCTCACACCCAGGATGCTTCAAGAGCAGTGCACATGAGTCATTTACCCAAATCACTGGCTTTTACCTTGATCACATTACAGCCTCTAAAGCACTGCCCTTGTTTTCATCTAAAAAGCTCCCGAACTCTGAACAGCTTATGCCATAAATGTAGACCCAGTGAAAGGAGGCAAATAATGACATCAAAATGAAAAATTCATCTTCATTGTTCCCACTACAGAACATATGCTCCCACACCTGGTTTTCCTTCACTGGATGTTCATACCAGCCCTAAGAATCTACTTTATACAAAGACAAGAAACTTTGTTTTTTGTACTAAATATGTGTTTGTGGTTTGTTGGTGTTTTTCCCTTTTACTTTGTTAGTTTCGTATATATTTGCTATTGTTTTCAGTACAGAAATGAAGTATTACTGCTGGAGTTCATGCCCTCTTTCCCACTCATCCTAGACATGGGAATATCAAGGAACTATTTGAAAAATGCACAGTGCCAAAACCAGCTCTTCAGCATGGGCTGTTGCCATTCACAAAGCAACAGAGGCCAAAAAAAGGCCAAGAGCAGCTGAGAAACTAGCAGCAGAAGCCATGGTCTGGACACCTGGATTATTCATTTGTTCTCAGCCCTGCAGTATCCACAACTTGTAGGGTAAGAAGGCACACTTGAGTTAAAATTGAGGTGTGTGCTATAAAGTACACGTTCTGATGCAAGCACCAACCTTCAGAAACTACAAAATTATAGAATAATTCCAAAATCATTAATCAGGACATGACAATAGAGGTGCAGTGGGAGGATAAAGTAGTGTGCTCATGAGCAATGTCTTCTTTTCATTTGGTTTTTAAACAAAGGATTCCCTGTGAAACTTTGCAAACACACACATAGACAAAGTTGCTCCAACACACCTATTCACAGAACTCTCTTAAAAAAAGAAGTATTAAAAAAAAAATACCAAAACCCTGCCTGAAAGCAGGGAGGTTTCCTAGCTTAACGCAAAGATGCTACACAGCTGAAGACAAAATGCCACCACCTCTGACCTTTTTTCCCCCCCCTCAGCTAAATCAGCAGTTCCTCACCCTCAATATTTCTGGTGGGATATTGCTTCCCTTTCACAACAGGAATTAACAGAAAGCCATACGAAAGAGGAAAGCATTTAAATAGTCTAGCAAAACAGGTTAGCAGCCTGGTTTCCTCTAGGCTACACAAAGAAAAGTTTCCTGATGTAAAAAAGGCAGCAGCCTTGTAAGACACAAATGCTGTTAAGTTCAGGCAGCAAACGCTGCGTAGCAGTTTCTGACTATGAGATCTATGCCAACATGAAATAGGCACCTTTAATTTATTCAGCTGAAACTGTACATTTTCTACTGTCTAGAGAAGGGAAAAAGAAAGCAGAAAGCAGATCACCATAGAAACTGGGTTACTAGAGACAGCTGAACCTTCCACATGACACAACCCTACCAGATATTAAAAGCACCCTATGAGCACTAAGCTGTAGCTTCTCATCTCTAGCATCACTGCCTATCCTGAAATCCCTGCTGAAGAAAACACCTGGTGAAAAGAACAGGTGGGAGAAAAGAGAAGCTTCTAATTATAAGCATTAAATAATTTCACAACATTTTCAGCTCATTAATTTAGCAGAATTATTTGCAAAATCAGATTTTCATTCTATCCTTTATATAATCAGTTGATGTTAAAATCCTATAGCTGCTTAGCCTTTAGTAGGATCCAACCCTGTAGCAGAACACAAAGCACCATCACTGGTGAAAACAGAACCAAGGACCTCTCTCCTGGGAAAACCCTACACTCTGGTCTCTGTTATTCAGCTGTCTTTAGTTCCTAGCATTAAAAAATTGAGTTTATTACTCCATTAAAATAAGACTAAAATATGACAAACTTCCAGAGACACTGATTTACAAATCAGCCTTCTAGAAAGGGAAGGAAATTCTAGCCTAAAAGTGGACTGGAATGACAATAAAACTTAAAGCAAGAATCAAATCCACTGTAGTGAGATTGTGCCTGATTATGATCAGTGAATCTATTACTGTTTGTAATAGCCCCATGCAAATGCTGAACCACCAGCCTAAAGCTGCTGATAGGGGAAGTAACAGTATGATTCACTCAGGGAAAGGAAGTGAATGAAATTTTAGGTAAATATTGTTACCTTTCACATCACTCAAATCTTACCAGTAGTGTCACCTGCACTTCATGCTTCAGTAAGGAGTTGGCTCTAACAAACTTAGCTTTGCTATCCAGGTAATAAATCATGTTGGACTTTCTCTACAGGTACATTCCAGGCTCCCCACTGATGACATCTTCCTGCCCTCATCGGAGATGTAGGACTGGAAGAGGCACAAGGGGGACATGCAGCCTTTCCTCCCACCCTATGACAAAGCCACCCCATCACTCTGACACTCTGGGCTGGACTCACCAACCAGCCATTTCCAGCCAAGCACGCACGGGACTGCCACTTAGCCTAAGCTACTTTAAAAGAAATCAGAATGAAAACATAAGGCACACAAATGAGATACCTTGAATTCAGAAGGAAAACCAAGTAACTAAACATGTATCAACAGGACTATCCCAAAACTCAAGTTTCTTGCCTAGATTCTCTTCCAGGCTCAGCAGACTAGCATAAATAAACCACACCACCTCCAAAATCACACAGAAGTGTGGAGTCACCACACTTTGTTCAAGGAAGGACAAGTTGGGCTGCTGAATGGCAACACTCAGTGTTACCTAGGCAGTGACTCTAAAAGAGTTCACAGCAGAAAAAAATATAGACAGAAGTTTTGGTGTTTTACTGCAGGGTCAGAAAGCTGTGTTACCACAACTGTACAGTCAGAAAATACAATAGGAAATCAAAGTATTCTCTCATACCTCATGATTTCTTCTCAGATCACATGAAGAAATCAGCAGACTACAATAATTATCTATCAAATGAGACCATATGACTCACAAAGCCTCTCTTCTGAGATTTTAACCTCTTGAAGTACTAATTGACATTGCTGACAAAATGGAATTAGCAATGCAAGCAGCTCAGCAGTCCCTTCAGCAGTCAGTCTTCTACTTGCATTGCACAACCACACATACTGCAGCATGAGATACAGCTATCTTCCCAGCTCAGCAGCTCTTTTGATAAGAGCTGAAAGAGTTCATAAAATTATCTACATCCTAACAAAGAAAAGGAAACTTCAACTCATTAAAAGCTGTCCCTCGTTTCTCAGCAAGGTCTACCCATAAAAATGAACTTGTATGATTCTCACCTCAGCAGAGAACATTTATTTATTTACAGACAGCCTCAAAAAACAGTCTTTCAAGTGTTAACCATGAGAAAACTCAGGAGAGACATTGTCTCCCTCTTTCAAGAATGATCTCGGCTTTGGGTAGGAATAAAAGAGCTTGTTAATGTCTGGATCAAAGAGCTACCATCAATTCCAGCAGCACTAGCTGAAGGAGTCGATTGAACAGCAACAGCTGCTGAAAGTCAAAGCCAAATTTGACCAAAATCATTCAGTGTCAACCTGTTGCCACCTAGAGAACAGGCTGCATTATTAGGCTGGAAAAGGAAGAGTGTCTGTTAGTGAGGTGTAACAAGAAAACAGAGCACAAAGTCATAAAAAGGTGGCAGTGCAGAAGTTTTTAACTTATCTATGCAGAACAGAAACTTAGGAGAAATTGATTTCTGTGTTGTGTGATTTCCTTGGGTGGGGTTGCTCTGAACATAATTTGATGCTATTAGAATAGTTTCCTTTCAGCTTTATGTTTTCCCCTCCAGCTGGTTGACAGTGCCACCACTATGGATACTAAGCCTAGAAACACTTGAAACAGAGCAGCTTAGCTTTAATATCAACAACACAAGCAGACACACGGCCAGGTGAGTAACAGGTGGAACACAAATCTTAGCTTGACCAACTGGGATCCCCTACAAAGAGATGCTGATCACTCTCACATCAGACCACAGGAGATGCCACTTCTTCCACTTGCTGAAACCACTGACATTTCTGCCACCAGTCCCACAACAGGCAGGCAGAGCCCAGGAAGTGTCACCCTCCTGCTAACAAACTGCTGCTGCCAGGTGCAGTACGAAAAGTGAGACAAGACTTTACTCTCATCAAATGCCAAATAACCAGGGAGGATTGGAAAGCAGAGCATTTCCGCGACGAGCAGGCTGCTGCAAAACCTCTCTCCAACTCATCTACATTTTTCTTGGGGCCTGAGGGAAATGGCATCACTAACTTTGAAAAAAAAATAAAAATATAAAAATCAAACCAAAGTATATTGATTTCCTTAAAGGCAGAAGCATTTGTTGGACATGGGACATATTTTCTGCAACAGCCCTTTATATACCTCCTGTGCAGTGTAAGGCCTGATATTTATACAGGATTAATTTTAAAATACATTTATATTGTTATAAAGTGGGGAAAATATGTGAGACCATTTGTATTAATGCTTTATCTGAAAAATAATTTCACATGGTTAGTTTTTGTAATAGGAAGATCAAAAGCCCCATGCTATCCCATAAATCTCTGACTCCTGGGAATTCCCTGAGTGGCCGCACACCGAGCTCCCAGGCACCAGCTGGGGACAGCAGTGACCCAGGCTCTGAGCTGCCCCCCAGGACACCCCCATGAGCTTGCACCCTGCTGACACTGGCTTGCAAACCTGGGTCAAAGTGTCTGCAGCACTCTGGGTTTGGAATACAAGGCACCTGCCTCCTGCACAGGGGAACTACTTGAATCACAGTTCACAGAAAATAAATGCTGTCCTTGAGTATTTCATCTACTATGTGTATAACTACCACATTTAGTCCCAGGGATATAAAAGTTTGGTGGTGTAGGGGTCTTTTGTTTCATTTCTGTTACACATTTTTATAAGGCTTTCTTTGTATTTAGGGCTTGGTGACTTGTAACACCATAAGAATTTGTACATGATTTGCCAAAAATGCCTTGATTGTACAAGGTACAATCAAAAACTATCAGTATTCCACAAAGAATCACTGCAGCACAATTCACATCTTCAGTCACTGGGAAAATGTCCATGGACTTAAAATTACCTGAAACTTCACCTTACTTTAAAGTGATGCAAAAAAAAAAAAAAAGCTAAATCCAAAACACAGGATATATACAACAAGCTACTACAGGCAAATCTGATGAGCAGACAGATATACAATATGTGGCATTTGCCAGTTCCTGTTGTACTTCACAGAACCCCCTTCCCCATCCTCCCCAAGCAGCCACCCTCAGCCAGCAGCCACGGTGACAACCTTCTACTCCATGACTTGTGACACCAGGAGCACCTGCTGCTGAGAACCCCCAGGCAGTGATGGGAAGGCACGTGCAACACTGCTTGGGTACACCATGGATTTGATGGGAAAACAGCAGGAAAAAAAACAGCAAAACACCAACATTCCTCCCTTGCTGTAGCATGCTATTCTCATTGGATTCAGCACACTTCTAAAGAAATGTTTGCTCAAAGTAAATCAGGCTTAAAAAAATAAAGTAAAATTAAAAAAAAACAAAACACAAAACCACAATGTTTAAGAAAATTTTGTGTTTAAAACAGTTTTGATTTCCAGACCTGTCAAAGGAACGAACATGGCTCTGAAAGATCTTCAAAAGAGATGGCACTTACAGCTAGATTAAAACCACCAATGTTTTGGTCACTGCCTGAGACACAAAACAAGCTGAAAAATCACAGTAAGATCAGCGAAAACATCCAGCAGAAATGTGACACCTACCACAGGCTGAGCAACAGGAAAATATTCTGACTCATGTCAAACTTCATTTGGGGTTATACCCACAGAGAGAGGCACACACCATGTTGCATTTCAATCCATACCACCAATACAAAGGCAAGCACTGAATTATACACTAGTGATTTCAAAAAGACAGTAATTACAAGTCTGCTTGAAAACACCTAGTTCATTCAACCTGAAAAACACGTTACAAGAGTTGCAGAAAAGTGGCCACAAGAAATTTAAGGGCAAATGAAACAACTACAGCCATCCCTGAATATTAAGCTAAGGCAACATGTAGCACTGAAGAAAGAATATCAGGAAAAGGATGCATGACTTCATGCTTGTCTGCTTACAGTAAATGTTGTGGGTGTACTACAAAAACATTCCCATGTAAAATACATGTAAAAATCCAATCTTTAAAGAAAACACACATGTTACTATTAACTTTATGGGCACCTGAATTTAAGATTGAAGAAAAATACTGTGAGGACAAATGAAACAAGTGGTTGTAGGATTTTATTTTAACACTAAGATGATGCAAGTCAAAATATAGGCTTCAGAGCATAATTAAGTACATGCTGAAATAAGTATTAAATATTCCAGACCACTGGTACAAATCCAGTTAAGACCATCATGTTTCTAACATATTTTTACATGCAATGTCAAACAATGAAACATTTATTTCAGCTTCTCGAGTTCCTAAATGGATCTAAGATCTATCAGAAGCTTTTTAAAGTTATTTTTCCCTATTTTTCTAGGAGCCTCACCCATGGCAGGCAGGATAATGGAATTGTTTCTCACAATACACAGCACAGCCCAAGTTTAGCTCAGGGACAGAAGGGGCCCAGAGCACCGGCTGCAGCTGGGTGTTCATCCCGGGTTCATACAGGCAGAAAGAGGAAGCGTTGTCTTTTGTCTAAGTGTCTCTGCTTCAGCACAGAGCCATCTGCACCACTGCCATGAGACTATCTGGTGTGTTCAGCACTTGCTTAGGCAGGAAGGGAAAAGAAAGGGCTGTATTGATCAGCCAGATGCACTGCTCCGTGCCGTGTTCCAGTGCTGGAGGTTGAAACAAGAAGTTACTGAGAAAAAAGTAGTGGAGCCATAACTGGTCACCTAGACCACAGAGCTGAAATAAGGCTAAATTTTCTGATATCTGTAAGCCATCTGGAGGATGGACAATTGCTGACTTAGCTGTGAACTTTGATAGCAGATAAGGCTGTACTTCTCTGAGTATCTTTCTGCAAAGTGGAGCTGAAGTACAAACAGAATTCTTCTTTTACTTAATCCCAGTCCCCCCCAAAAAAAAGTCACAAGGAAAATAAAATAACTATTTGAGGTTCTAAAAATTCAAATGAACTTCTTCATTTTTGTTAGAATGACACAGAAGCCCCAGGCTGAGATGCAGTTACATGGTTAGAACGGAGCTTTGCTGACCTAGCTTGAGTTGTTGAGGAAACCCAGTTTCACCCAGTTTCATCGCGGTCAAGTCCGACACAGACACGTCTCTGCAACAGGGACCTGGCAG